GTGATACCGTCGAGACTGGCCGATTACCATCTGCAGCCGTGGCTAGATTATGGCTCTCATTACGCCGGCTATATTTAACATCTAGTCCCGCGGTCTAACTGCAACGATCCTTACAGATCCCAAGATAACTTCCACAATCGCTCGACCGATCTTCTTCATCTCGCGTCTTATAGAGCAACACGACGATCGCTCTGAATGAAGCTAACAGGTTGTTCGCCTCGAAGAGATTGATGGACGGGCGTTCTGTGGAAAAATTATAATTCTACCTGGGCGCCATTAACCTGATAGCAGATGCGTTTGAAGTACTCGCTTCTGAGTACTGTATCATTAATACAGCGACGAATCGCTGAAAATAGAGAGAGATTCGCTTGCTCCTGCTAAATGATATCTCTGAAAAAGCTGGAGGGAAGAGCGCATTGCGCTTTAACGGTGAAAATCAATGGATGATTGCATGAAAGTCCGCGGAAAGAGAGAAGCAAGGGCGGTAGGAAGACCGAGGAAGGCTTCTCAAGGAAATCCAAGACGTGACTGGTGATTATCTTATCGGGCGGCGCACGCCATCGGCTTATTGGACCGGCTGTAACCGCGTCGGGTTATTTCTGTATGCATCGGGAGGAAGGAGCGGCACGCAAGAACAAGAACAGGACGAAGACGTAGAGGCAACGTGAATCGCGATGCGAGCAGAAAAAGTCCAGAAGAGCAAACGTCTACTCGCTCGGCGCTCCGGGAATAGAAGTGGTGAGATGCCGCTTGCATGCCGCTTGCATGCCGCGGTCCCGCGGCAAAATAAGGAAATTGCGCGGGGAAGAAAAGAAACAGGACGCGCGAGGGACTGGCGCCGGCGCTTCGCGTTTCTAAGCGGCCTCTCGGCGCGCTCGTTGAAAATTACCCGGACGCACGTGAAAATTGCCTGCCGCGGCGCCCGACAATTTCCAGATCGTAATTCGCCGAGAATTGGTACACGCGGATAATTTTGTCTACTTTCAAGACGTTTCGAGATTTCTTCTCGCCGCGATAACCTCGAGTAATCACAAGCACGCAACGAGACAACTTTCTGTTCCTGCAATAACCTTCGGTGCCGGAGTTTACCTTGTTATTGAATACATTTGCAAAATATTCGCTTAAAATATGAAACTTATTACTTATTAATGCGCAAGTGAGATTATTTTATCAATTAAATTGATTTTGAAAATTATTAATGAGATAGAAAGTCTATTTTGTCTAAGTTCTTGATTTTGTTGAATGACAATCATTATTGGAAAAACGCGCAAAATAAAAATCGGATGAATTAATACCATTTTTGACACCTTTCATACTTTCATCTTGAATTTCACTCTTACGTGACTAACAAATATGTATCTATTGGTACGCGAGTCACAGTCTTTCGCAATATTTTATTGATGTCAACGACCATTGACAATTCACTGTGCACACGCATGCATGAAATCGTTTTGAATGACGTCCACTGCAATTTTGCCGGAATTGTCAGAATGTTCTTGAGGAAGACAATTATTAAGTGCGGTCAGTTTCTGCAAAATTTATTATCGTGATCTTGTCGTACCGGATGCTATGTTCGTTCATAATTTTATCAGAGTCAATGAAAGACATAGTGAGATTTAAAAAAATAATTAGAATCTATTTTTTATATTGCATTTTTTTTTAATCTTGAATGTGATATCTACTTTCACAATGTTTTCTTTACCAAAAATACATTATTTGTCTTGAGATTTGATATATAATATCTATATAATTCTTTACGTCAGCAAATTTTTTGCTCGTAATTTTATCAATTATCAGTAAAAACATTGTCATGAATATTTCAAAAAGAAGATATTTGGTCTTCCTTATTTTTATCTCAACAGATAAAAATAATTGTGTAATGTCTTACTTGCACAATGTGTAAATTGTTACATTTCTAATACGCGTGCCGTAAGAACTATTAACATTTTATTTTTTACCTTCTGTCTCATCATTTAATGATTATCTTTTTATATTAACGAACGATATTAAAACTAAAAAAAGCCGATGTCATTTTATTTCAAGAAATTCAAGGTATTTTTCATGTATTATTAATGTGGAACTGTCACGGAACATACAATCGTAAATTTCTTTTATTTTTACAATAGCAACGAGTCCTATTTAGATCCCGTTCGTCTTGTGCGATCAAACTTTTCCGTCGCATAAAGTGCGTCGACATATTTTTTTCGCGATGCCACGGAGTTAGTCATTCCACGGAAAAGTAAGTTTTTACTGTGGATTCCATCGTTTATTCCCCGATCGAGGGATGATCAGTGCCCTCATGTTCATGGAACATTCGCGGGATTCTCGTTTGAAAAATGTGTGCTATTTCTAGTGCGGAGTAACATCCGCTCTGATAATCGAACGATAAAAAACTAAACCGTCAACATGTAGACTTTTCAAAGATAATAAGGAAGATAAAGCATCGTAGCAATTTAGACAATAAATCTTGGAGAAATATGTTTGGATGATGATTGATAATTTGAAGGAATTATATTTATTGTATATGTATTTATATCAAATCTAATAATTATCTGTAAATTTACAGATTATTTATACTAAAAAGAGTTAAAAATGTATGTTACTAAACTAAACTCCAAAATTTATTTTCCGCATTTTTTTACATGTAAAATTTGCATATCTGTGAATAAACAACGATAGACACGCGTCTTATTTAATATCTGCCATTAAATACCGTTTAATGCTGAAACACGACGCGATTTGGTTCCGCCGACATCCATTTTGCACGATTATAAATGCGCGATAGAAGCGTCACAATTATCGTATGTTCAATGGTTGCATGCGATTGGCAGCGGCTATATTCGAAGAATGGCGAAAAAGACAAAACCGCCAGACTGTCTTTGCGCCGTCATGGTACGTGCGGCAAAGCTACATTATATTATATATTTATAGATGACGTGGTAAATGGCTTTGTTCACCGATACACGTCGACCATGAAACCAGCGCATATAATGTGATAAGAAAACCGTGAATTCTACAAAGAGGCAGGTGACATCTGCTCAATGCAACTGGATTGTTATCTTTATGCGTCGCATTTGTCAGTTGCAAAAATAGTTGAACGAATTAAAAGGAAAAAAAAAAAACGAATTAAATATTTAAACAATATGTTAGTAAAATGTGATTTACTGACCTACATCTACCATATGTTGAAGAGTCGGAAACCGCCTTTTGACGCGAAGCGAAATCCTTTGCAGCGTAATGACGTACGCGAGCACAGCATATCTCACGATGTTGCGTCTCATCAGCCGTCCCCGTTCATCCTGAAACAGACGGGCAAACATACATCAATCGTACTTTTTGGCAAACTTTAGATAACTCCCGTATTTACTCTTCTTCATTGAATTTAATTTTCATTCATTCACAAAATTAAATCGTATGAGAGCAGATTATTTGAAGCGCCGTGTCTAAATTTATGATTATCGCTTCAATTAAAATGCCATGAGTTTGCAATAAATCAGCATTGGCGAGAACGACGTTGACTTCAAAATTCGTTTCCGAAGCCGAACGAATGCTGGACACGTTTTCGCGTCTCGTACATACTTTCCCCTTATTCTCTTGGCCCGACGTTACGGACGCCCCGTGCCACCGTATTCGCACTCGCTGCATGAATTACCGTCGGTTTTAAATCGTTTTAGTATTAATCGGAGGAAAAACCGGTGGCGCCTATTTTTCCTTTCGTTCTTGAACATTGACACACACACTTTTGTAACCAATCACGTTTTGTAATGCACCGACGGCTGCAATCGCTTGGTGGAATATAAATTTGATCGGAAATGAACAAGAATATCGACGTTGATCGACGAGATCTTTCGCATGTTATATTGTTACAACTTAAAAAACAGTCGAGGAACTTTAATAAAAGATATCATGTTTTGTCGCGAAAAGATGAAAATCAGTCTTTTTTATAACAGGACGAGTGATAAGCGTGCCACATCGATATCTTATACATCCCACATTGATTAATTTTATCTCCACGGAAGCTCCTTGCATTCTTCACTTATGGCGATAATAAGCTATAAACCTTCTCAGGCACGTAGAGCTCTCATAAAAAATTGCGCCATGCACTATCGATTACGATCGTGTTGAGAAATCTTTTGAAATGGTAACACAATGCTTGATTCTTAAGATAATTTCTTTCCGCATTTCTGGCCTCTTTGAATTGCTTAGAAGCCTGCCGTTACCTTTCCGATGACCTTTTCATTACCTTTCATTTGCATATGCGAGAGACAAGTTAGACCCCTTCCTCAAAATTCTACGGCTCACCGATCGCGCGTGTAAAAATGTCCGGCTTGGCAGCTTGGAAGCGATCCCCCCCGCGGGGAGAGATGGCAGGGCCGAACACCGACCGTCTCGTCTCGGGGTCTGCATTCCAATTAGATTTCAATGAAAGGCGCACCTCAGAAGCTCATGCTGACGACTGTGGTACCGCTCATTCACAAATCGGACACTCTGTATTACGCGATTACATGACCGCGGGTGTACATATAACCGTGGGCTCGCTCTGCGACACAGAGGACCTTGTCCCCTACCTACGTATAAAAATTCCATCGGAGCTCATCGTTTCTAGAGATTGATTGCACTATACGCAGGTAATTGCATGCATTGCGAATCGAGAACTCATGAAGACGTGTACCGATCGCAATGAGTTGTGGTATCATCAGTACACCGTACAATTAAAATCTTATTAAAGTTCTCATCAAAAATTGTTTTAGCGGATAAGTCGTGTTGCAAATAATTATCTTTTTAAATTAATTCTATACAACGCGATAAAAATTATTATTCGTATGATATGAATTATTATTCGTATGTTTTGAAAAACATATGTGTATTTTCGAAGACTCGTGTACATTATCATTTAATTATAATGTACGGGATGTCTCATGGCAAGTTGCTGAAACTTTACTGTCATTTTTAAACGCACATAGTTTCCAAAAGTGACTTAATTTTTTTGTTATAATTCTGACGGTGCGCACTTTGAAAATATAAACCATTAAAATTAGCAAAATCTGACATTTTTTATGAACGTTTATTTAATGATAAAAATATTTCCGACTGTTTTTAGTTTAGATGTAAATAAAACTGTAAAATGTCCTCTATTTGAAGAATATTTTATTTTTCTGGCTTCCTATGTGCATTTAAAAATGACAGCTAATTAGTTTCAGCAACTTTCCATGTAAATTACAGCATAATAATGTGATATTTTTGATAAAAACAAAATTGTAAAACAAATTTATTGAAGTTGGGATGAGCGCCACGTGCCGAGTCGTGAGACAATAAATCATCTGTGAATCATCGACTGAAAAAGCTCTACACAAACACTATACTTAATACTTCTCGCACAAAGGTGATAGAATGATAGTTAGAAGATAGACAAACGGAATGCAGTAGAATTTATGCGGTAGCACAGCTGTTTGTATCTTTCTCCGACACCGCAATAATAACATCAGGAAACCGTGAAAATCTAGCGTTCTATCTCGCGTAGCGAGATAAAGTAACATCTAGACTAACTTCACATTTAAAAATTCATAACGATATTTCTACTGAAAAAAACCATACGCGTGGTAGGACATAGTGTAATCAAGTCACTTTTTCTGCAGACTTTCTCGAAAATTGTTGCATTCTGGGCGCGCACTTCACACAGTTTAATATGTGAAATTAACACTGATCTAAGTAAGGAAAACGAAGAGGACGGTTGCATAAGATAGCAATTAAATCGTTTAACAGCGATCGATTGACTCTCGCTCTACCAACAGTGTAACAGCAGTAGCAATCGGAGACCGCAAATTAAGCATGTACATACAGCTCAGCTCTCGCACCGCATAAATTTAGCACTCGATACTTGACTGACGAAATGTTATGTATATTTTCTTAAAAACCGATTATCGGTGAAGTAATAGAGCAATAAGGAAGAAAAAGACTGTACAAAAGTGTGCACGATGCGCGTGTAGGTTCGTCCTTCTTTTTCGCTACGATACGTTGCACTTTCACTCCGACACTGATGTGAGTCATTGACCAGAGCTAAAAGCTTGTAACGAATCCGCTCCAAATTTTGTTCAAATTGAAGCTCATTTATTCTCAATAGGGTTGCCGTTGTTGAAGAATTTCAAAAAAATACAGTTAAAGATTATTTTTAACGATTTATCAAAATATTAGTTGATTTAATAGTGAAGAGAATTATTTAAAATTATGTAAAATTATTAAAATTTTGAAAGCACTTGAAATAATAGATATATATTAGCATTTCATAAATTTTTTAGTTTTATCTAAATTATGCACACGGTTACATTTAATTTTTCTTTAAAGAGAAATAAGTTTTTTCACTAGGCGAGCCTAATTATCATAGTTAGACTAATTGTAAATATAAATATAACAAATTTATGTCAAGGTTTTGTCGAATAATATAACGTGTTATTATTGCGATTGCAATATGCAGCGCGATTGCAGGAACATAAAAGTGAATCTGTCGTGAAGTTGCCAATTATAGGATCATCGTCCCGCATATTTTTTTTGCTCCTGGGCGTGGCGTGACTTGGTTGGCACCTTAGGTTAACGACACCGAAACATGTCACGGCAATTCATTAGCGTAATGAGACACGAGCGTAACACGAACAACTACCCGCAGCAAGGTTGCGTCTATTAACGCTATCGGTTCTTCTTTTTAAGGAAAAAAAAAACCAATATTTTGTTAGAAAAAGTGCTTAAAATTTTGCCGAATACTTGACTAATCCATTACTGTAAACGAGAGGACAGCGTTTCCAAGAAGAACCGCTCCGTTACTACTGTATTTTTAATCATACGGTAGGAACCAACAAAGAAAGCCTCTTCTCGATGGGCAGGTACTACTTACATTTCCAGGAATGGCGGCGCTGATGAAGAGAGCCAGATTGTCTGGCCAGGGCAAAAGCTTGTACTGCTCCCACCACCTTTTCACAACAAGGCTCACGTAAAATCCCAGGACGAACGACATGGGTATGGACTCGCTGGAGTTGCCGAAATAGTAACGGATTTTTTCAAAAATTCTGCAAAGAAAGAAATATTTTTCTTAACACAATTATTAGTTAAATTTTTATTCTATATATTGTGTTATTGTTATTGTGTTAGAACAAAATTTTCTGTGTGTACACATACGTGCATGTTAATTGTATTATCATTAAATATCGTGCTATCTTATAATTAATAAATGATAAATTAAAGATTAGTAATTTAAATGAAATTCTAAATAAGGAAATATTTTACAAGAGACAGCAGAAAGGTATATTGGCACGCACTGAAATGTTACTAAAGCCTATTACATGCGCAATTTCCTATATGAACTCGTACATAAGTGGAGCAAGGTTGAGGTGATACCGTCACTCGCCGATACTGCTACCAGTCTTACATGCTGATCAGTATTAGTAAACGGGAACTTCTACTTTGTCTTTGCGAATGATTGCGGGCGAAAGCGCAAATCTGCTTTATCGAAAGCGTATTCGAGACCGTGTTTGACTCCTCACTGGTTTCGCTCATCAATGTCGGTCACTGCCTCGTGGGTCGTTCTAAAAAGAACGTAATCACCACGTATGGGTAGCCGTACTTACTTTTACGACTTCGTAAGAAGTAACTTTGCACATCAATTCTGAACGATTAGCGCGCGATTCCAGGATCTTTCGCTAAGTAGGTTTATGTTGGAATTTCCGTGAGTAACTGGTACCGTATTCGTACTCTTGAGATAATATTGACTTACCGTTACCTGAACGTACAATATTATGGTCACAAGGAACTGATATTGATATCACATGTAGTTACTCGAATAATGATGCAAAGATATTAGATACTTTTCTCAAGATACGAGAGGTACATTGAAAAAATAATCTGGTAATTTAAGAATATCTTTTACGATAAAATATCTAACGAGTACGATGAGCATTTGACACTTGACACTGAAAAGAAAAGAAGAATTAACTTGTCATAAATCCGTGTGTGGAAAAAATTTTAATAAAGAACGATCAATCTTGTAACCACGCTCCATCAGGTTCATTCTATTCAATAATCGCTGAATTGCTCATTTCATAATTTTCACTCTTTGGGCCCGCTGGATCCTAAATCTGCCTTAAACCGTCCAGACAGTTCTAAATTTAGCCTCACGAATCAAAGTGATTTAAAAGAGAAACCTTTTGTATCCTTGCGGATTTTCTGACATTTCTTTATCGCTCTTCTTCAGCCCCGCATAAATAACAGCTTACATTTTTATGCCTTTTTTAACGCCTGACACGGGCGTTTCTCCAACACGTTTCATGATGTATCGCGATGTGGGATCTTCTACAGGGCGCGTCAAAAGAATCTTTCCAAAACTGTCACATATACTACAAATAATAAATGAATTTAACTGCTTTTAAATATGAATTTATCTTACGATATTAATATTTTATACACGAATATCATCAGGATTGCTTAAATTTATTATCTTGTATGTTCACTTAAATTTACACCGTAATATCTGCAATTAAAAAATTAAAATCTGCAAAAAAATAAAAAAATATGCAATCTGCAATTAAAAGTTATTTGTATTTATAGAAATCCACTTTTATTATCTTTGAATATAATTACTTACGATGATCGTTTCATTATTTTGTAGTAACGATATAAAAATGTGTGCGTTACCAAAAATGGAACGTTTCAATCAATTTCACGAATAACGTAGTTAAATATTCATAAAATTAGTATGGAGATTTGTAATAATGTACGCTTAAGAACTCGAAAGTTAATTACTTTTTTGATATTATCAGTATTTAATATTAATGCTTTTCCTATATAATTATGAATGTGTATAATAAACCTTTGTTGCTTGGATCTGCGATTCTATATCGACTGCAAATTAACTGAGTATTATGAAGGTGAACTAAAGAAAGGTTACAGAGTGTCCTGCATGGCAAAAAAAATACATCAATGAATACTAATAAATAGAGGGTATTGTGAATCTTCCAATGCTAGCCGAAGAAACGCGACCGTGATTGAAGTGCCGGAACCTTCAGATTTGCGGGCGGGCCAAGGTCGATGTTGCACGAGTTTATCTACGTCCATAAAACGCGGTTATGGCAAATATGTTCGTGCACTGCTCGATTGAATTCGGCAATCCGGTTATCCGTGATAAGGACGCAACAAAAGAACTGGTGATCGGGGAGTGCGAGATTAAATCGTCGTTCTCCTTGCGCGACCAAGAGAGAGAGGCATGCACATTGTCTGATTTAATTATACACATATATATTTTGAGACACGTTTCCTACCCCGCATCGCCTTGAATTTAATCCGCTAAGCCCCGATATAATGCTTATTGCGTTTCTTTCAAAGCAACTATGTATATACGTGGAAAAAATAAAAAATATAATTGTTACTAAACTTAGCAATAATTGTTACCCAATACGAGAAAATTTATTTCAACGTAAACTATATCCTTCTGATACTAAAAGTAAGAATGCATTTCATTACGAAACATTTTTTCTGCTTCGAATTTCAGCCTTCTGCTCTCTCATAAAAATAAAATTTCTCATAAAAAATAAAATTTATCATTTCATTCCAGAGATATTCATGTTACTTACAACCGTTGATGGTCATTGAGCACATATCGATATGTAAAATTGATGAGGTAGTAGAAAAACAGGTACGCCAGTAGTTCCCGCCAGATTAGCTTGTAAACTGAGCCACGCCATCTGCAAAAAAAAAAGAAACCAAATAATTAATTTAAATTGATATTAATTATACATTAATTATGATTGATTACACGAATAAATACTGCACCGTAATTTTTGCTTTCTTTTAGATAAAAGTATAAAATGTAGCGCGATATATTATGTTACATGTTGCTAAGAACTTTACTTCTTATAATATATTTCTCGTATTACAATAAATATTGCACAATGCTTTTGAAAAAAGGCAAAGAGTAGCCGTTGCATTAATCGAAAATATTCATCCAAACGTATTTTAAAAGCTGAATTATTAGCAGTAAATATATATTATCAAAAAATTACCTTTTTAAAAAAGGTAAAAAAGGCGTCAAATATACGCTCTTGTCGCAACTAAAACAAGACAGTATTGTTTTACCTTTCAAAAAAATTGTCGTATATATTAAACCTTTCAGAAAAACCTGTCATATATATTAAAATTAAAAAAAAGCTATTATATATATTTTCTACAAAAAAATATGATATTAGGAAATGGCTCCAAGTGGGACTAAAGAACTATGAAAACAGTTGTACACTATTCCTATAAAACTCTTCTATAAAACTCTTGCACATAAAGCTGTCGTATATATAATTAACTATATTATATACTACATTTTACATATACTATACTATATATACTATATATATTATTACATATAATATATATATTATAAAAAAATAAATACATAAATAAAAAAATTAAAATATTTAATAAAAAAATAAAAAATATAAACAAATTTAATCAGAATAAAAAAATATCTATTAAAAAACGCAAAAAAACTTTTTTTTAGTAATACATATACGACAGTTTTTTTTTATCTCTTGATTCTTATAGTAAATATATACATATATGGTATATATCCTTTGATATATATATACTTTTCTCATAAATTAATAGCGGATGTGATAAAAAAATCGCAATTCTTGAGCTATAAAAGTCAAAATCCATCGTTCATTCTCACCCAAAACTTCCTTGTGTTATGTGAATAAACTTTGAAGTATTGGCCAAGTGTGCTCTTTTCTCTTTTCGAGAATCCTCACTTTTACTTGGACATTTAAGAAACACCGCGTCTAAGATCGCTATAATTTTTTTTATGTTTTAAACGTCGCTGAATCGCACGTTTCTTTGATTGAGAAACATTATCATAAGATTTGCATGAGACTAATTTCGAAGTATCATGGATATTAATAAAACGATGATGTGTCGCGTTGCGTGACAAATGCACGCGGAACAGGTTTTATCTAAAAAGAGAAAATAGACGAAGTATAAAGACGAATTAGCTTGCACTTTTGCTTTCAATTAGTTGTCCTTTCGCAATAACATGATCAATATGAGCGCATAATCGATAAGAGCTGGATCACTCTATAAAATCGATAACGGCACGTGTGCTTCGGAACCGGCCTGAGAATTAGTGAAAAGTATGTCACGGCTAAATCGATTTTACGAGTCCCGAAGATACGCCGCACGCAATATTTCCCGAACGTGAATTCGCCATGAATATTTTATGGTGAAATCGATCACTCGATTATAGTGATCAACAGGAAATATTGGAAGCCGTAAAGTATTCAATGATCTCATCTTTTATGTTCTTCCTCCTCAATATGATCGTAGTTACAAATTAGAAACGCTGGCAGAGAGAGAGAGAGAGAGAAAAAAAAGAGAAAGAGAATGATTTTAAATAGAAAACAGACTCCTACACTCCAATAGATGCAGTGTAAATGAGGTCAAAGTAAAAAGCAACTTATAGGTATTGTAAAGCTAATATGTCAACCATTGTTTGGTAATGGAGCTATGAACTATGCCACTAGTTTATGCAAAAGATGAATGGCATTCATTTATCGGAATTTATGAACATCCTGATTCTCGATTAGTTTTTATGTCATGAGCTCTACGTGATGCTATATAATAAAACTATATAATAAAATTAGTCTTTATCAGCAATTCATTAACATAATATGTGCTGATGTATGTTTTATTAAATACAACATACTTAAAGTAAAATGTTTTATTTTATTAGTACGCGTATAACAAATGACACATACATCATACATGTATATGTCAAACTATTAATTTACAAAATATGAAACATAAAGTAAAAAAAAAAAACGTTAATTAATATCACTCCTCTTTAGAGAGAGAAAGATATGAAAAGCCGTACCGGATATCCGCCACATTCAGAGCAACACTTCGTGTGCTCACAAGACCGTAACGGTACGGTGATTATTGTGCACGATGAACTCACTTGCAGCTGATACGACAACGAAGAGCGAAAATCTGGAGAGAGTAATTGAAGCGGAGTGCAAAATGAAATAGCAAATTACGCTAACGGCTTAGATCAAAAGAATTCCTCGAATATAATCTCAGTGACTGTATTCCAACATTGGAATGGCGTAAACAAGATTATTTCCTTTCGATAGCGACTCTTATGCACATCAGGCAATTAGTAATTACGGGAAGCTGCGCGCCGTTGTTAATTATATTTTTTTGTCGCGCAATACGCATTAATCAACATTTGTGATCGCAAATTGTAATTTTGCAAAAGTAACCATAAAATTGGCATACGTACATGGAACACAATTGCGCATCTTTAGTCGTGAATTAAATTGTTTATCTAACACATATAATGCGCTCGTCATCGTTCACTAGACAATTTAATCGGTCTGTTACGTAGAGATAACAAATGCGTTTCTTATTAAACGTTTATCAATAATAACTGTTTTTAAATACAATTTTTGCAGAATAAAAATATAGAGAATGTATTTAACTTGTCGACGAAGTTTTTTTACGAAGCAGTATTCTTTAAAAGCATTTGCGCTCTGCATTTTGTTGTAAAATAATAAATTAATATATTTATTAATAATTGCAATAATTTTAATGATTTTAAATTAAAATTAGGTTTACATCGAATTTGTAGCCATGAAGACATTAAATATAATTCACTTTAAGAAATATATTTTTTAAAGTAAGCAATTAAATTTTGCAAAGGTATTTTTTGTGCAATGCTAAATTATTCCTAAAAAATCTGTCATTAAAGTATATTTTTGAAATATAGTTGTAAAATAATTTACGATTCCATCGAGTCTCAGCAGTTCCTGAAACATATTTCGGAATGTCAATATAAGCAAAAAAAATATAAATATTTATAATTGGACTCTTGTCTGTATTTTTTTCGATTACGTTTATCAGTTAAAACGCTGCAGGTGCACAAAGTTCCGGGTGCCAACAAAGAGAATCATACGAGAATCACTTTTCGATCATTTTTAGCTGCGCAAATACATACGTAATGAGATATCTACTAAACAGATATTTGACAACCACGTAAAGGCATTTGATTATTTCACTATTTGTATGTCAGTGGGTCATGGTAGCAATGTTCTGCGCTTTTCATTGACATACACGATAACACGCCCGTATTCCTTCATCTCATGTACGCAAATACGTGTGATTTGTACGTACATGGGTAATGTGAGTCGTTATATCGATTCTGTGATCGGAAGAAGATACTGTTGTGTTGTTAATCAATTCATGAGACTGACCTTCGTCTTCTTCCCAAGGTTAAGAAATATTTGTGCGTAATACGGAATTAAAGATTGACCGTCACAAGACAACGAAATTTTTCATCGCATGCAAAATTGCCGGAAATTAATTTTCAGAATTTAAAAATAAGATACATCATAATTTATATCGCATGAGTTATGATAGAAATAATATAAATTATATTATTTTGTAATAATTTTATGATAAAATGTTTCTATTTTTGTCATCTTTAAAAATTTATGTGCTAAAATAAGTATGCTAAATGCTAAACTTTTATTATTATTGCTAACTATAGATCAAGTGTAATTATACAAATACATCTTGATTTATCTAACATATATCAATTAAATGATTGATTTATGTTCTGACATATAATTAAGGATAAACTTAATTAAAAGTAATCAATATGTTAACGCTGCATAGCGAATTGTATCAAGAAAAATAATATAGTATTAGTTGTATTATATATATCATGTACGTTGCATAAGCGTTAATAAAAATTTAATCTTTTACAATATATTTAAACATGAACAACAATTATATAGATTTAACGATCTGACGTTCAAACGATGTGACGTTCCAAAAACACATATATATTTCAAACAGTTTTAAATGTTCTATATAATCTATATGTCAAGGATGTCTAATATTTTTAGATGCAACAAATTGATTTGCATTTGAAATAAACATAAAATAGTTTGATAAAAAAAAGTTGAGTGAAAATGTTCCATCACGATCTACTACTCGTAAAGATCGTGTTTACAGGTAATAAATCTGTGTACCGCGATGATTTTTTTTTATCGCCGATCGGACGACGTTTTTTTCTTGTCTACGGGGTCGAAGAAGACGTTGACGCAGGTCGTAAAAAGATATGCAAGTGAACGTCAATGACGTGTACGAACTTTCGCGGTCCCTGAGTGAATGGGCGAACGTTGTGCGATTAAGCCGTAGTTGCGCGCAGTCAGCCAGATGTCGAGCGTTTATGCAAGATCGTTATAACATAGCGCCGTGACGGCAATTTAGCCAGGCGCAGAAGCATTTCCTTTTTAGTCCTTTTTCTATGCGCATCTTGCGATTTCAGTGCAAAATCGGGCGTGCGGATTTGGAGGCTTTGTAATAGCGCGTCTAGTTTCTATGTGCCGCGGGGAGTCTGAACCTCGTTTAGATGAATTGCATAGTTACATCAAGCGCGCTTTTCGAGTAACGCTGAAAGGCGTATTGATGTTGAAAAGTGCATTTTGTAATCGTTAGGCGATAACATCGCAGACAATATAAACGTGTGAAAACATCGTAAAGACGTCCGCAAGACATTCTAATCTTCCAGGCACTTTTTAGGCTTTTTTATTTGGGACGTAAAAATATCTTTTTTCCACAATATGAGAATATAAAAAATAATTTATCTCATTTATTATACTTTTTATTCATCGGGATTATAAGTAACTATATTGTT